TCACAGAAGCAAAGCCCAAACCACACCCACTGCCGTGGAGTCCATTCTGACCCACAGCGCCCCTAGAGGACAGAGTGGAACTGCCCACAGGGTCTCCAGGGCTGTCAATCTTCACAGAAGCAAAGGCCAAACCACACCCACTGCCGTGGAGTCGATTCCGACTCACAGCGCCCCTAGAGGACAGAGTGGAACTGCCCCAGTGGGTTCCTCTCTTTCTTTTCCCCTCACAGGGTTTCCAAGGCTCATCTTTCTCCCACAGCGCGGCTGGTGGCTTCGAACTGCCAACCTCAGGGCCAATTAAAACAGGCACAGCTTCAGTTTTCAACATCCTCATCAGTTTCCACACTTCCCTCCAGCTCTAGGAATGTGTTTGAGCACCGTATTTATAATCGGTAAGTATTGGTGATCTGATCTGTGCTCACACGAGTAAGGGGTTTCCAAGTCAAGCCTCTCACAGCCCTGGAAAACATGCCGATTTTCTGGGCCCTGCTAACCGGCCGTCGAAGGGCTGATAAATTAAAGCCCTGGTGGGATATCTGACTTTGAAATGGAGTAATTTTAGTTAATAATTTGAGATCCATGAATCTTCAAAGGAGTGGCCCATTTAAAACCGCCTCTGTGTAAATCACAGTTTCTTAAGTGGAGTCCAGTTTGAACAGGTCGCCACACAGCTGTGTGTAAATGCTGCAGGGCATGGGCACCACCAGGGGACAGCCACAGGACACAATGACCCATCTGGTCACCTCACAAGACTCTCATGGTCCCTTTGGTGTGAGGCGAGCTCAGAGCACCAGCTTCTAAAATCAGGTGGTTCTCTTCAGTAACCGCCTTTGGTTTATGGTAACAAACACTGTGCATACACACCCGGTGCGGCCCCCGCCACTTACAGTTAACGCAGCCGAGGAGGCTGTTTTAAGTGGCCCACCCCAATGTGCTCAGTAACATCAAGAAGGGTTTATTTCTCACACTTAGTTACTTTGATCGTTAACAGTGATGGAAAAACTAAATTAAGTTAATGGGGAATGGATTATAAACACTTAAATAGACGCCTCAGCTTGTTTTCAACCGGGAAATACATAGAGAAAAATCAAGAAGTGTTTTTGCCTCTTCTCATAAATTTTTGGTACCAAATTTCTTTAAAACCATTTGGCTTAAAAAATTTTTTTTAAAAAAATGATTCTCACATGCTCGGACATGGCTGCTAAAAAAAAAATAGCATATACACATACAGCATTTAACAGCCTCTGCCCAGGCCTATAAATCTTCCATTCATTTTCTCTCTCTCTTTTAAAAAAAAAATATATATGCGATAACCCGTCACAGAACACGATCACTACTCTGCAGCAGAGTCAAAGGTCCTCATGGTCTTGGCAATGAAGGAAAAGGCCAGCCCACTGCCCTGCTGGAGCACATGTGTGACTGAGCCCACGGACACGCTCACTGCCCGGACACAGGTCCCTTGAACTGTGCCTCTGCCGGCAGCCACGGGCACAGCCACTCCCACCAGGCGTCCCACTTGCAGCACCATGAGCACGACGTCTAGCGGGACTTCACGCTGACGAGGACCACAATGAGGACAATGACGATGACAAGCAACACCAGGATCACGAGCATCTTCCGGTTCTTCTTCTGATACTGCTCTGCCTGCGGGAAGAGGAGGGGCCAGGCAGTCAGGCTCCCGAGGCTGCCGTCAACTCCAGAGGCAAGCCTCGCGGGCTCCAGCTTGAGGCTCTCGGTGCCGGGTGCGTAACAGCCAACAGCCCGGCCCCCGGCCACTTCTTACATCGGATCCCCCATCAGGTCGACTGAAGCACCCTGTGACCCCAGACCACTCCCTGACTCTGAATGCGCTCAAGCACTTAATTGCAATCTACCAGTAAGATCCAAATGGAGCTTCTAAGTGGCCACCTAAGATACAACTATTGGTTGCTACTTGCCCACAGCAAACTGGAGAAAAGGCAGCCAGGGACACAGAGAAGAGACTGGTCAACAGCAACCACGGTGTCCTCTGCCCTGAGACCAGAGGAACTAGATGGTACCCGGCTACCACCCCCAACCGCTCTGATCAGGGCCATAACAGATGGACCCTGAAAGGAAAGGAGAAAAACGTGGAACAGAACCTCAAATTCCTAAAAAACAAAACAAGATAGAAAAACAGACTTAGGGACTGGTGTAGACTGGAGGACCCCCCGAGACAACTACCCTGAGTCACTCTTCAGAACTTGAACCAAGACCAACCCTCAAGGTCACCTTGCAGCTAAATAACCACCTGGTTCACAAAATAATGACCAGCACCCGTAAGCTCACCCATAAGTCAACAATGACTTCAAGACAAAGAGGAGACTGCCAGGGGGCAGGGAAACTAGATAAATGGAAACAGAACCACCAGAACGGAAAGAATGAGGATGTCTCCACACTGTGAAGAGGGGCACCAATATCACTCAATAACTTGTATAGAAATTGTTGACTGGGAACTTCACTTGCTGTGTAAACCTTCATCAAACAGACAAGAAAATACTGTTTAAGAGAAAAAGTCCAGATGGCCTGCCGCTCCTTACTGCTCCCCCGGGGCTGTCGAGAGCCACACTCTGCACTTAGGCCTTGTTTCTGGGCACAGCTCTTTGGATGCAGAGAGACCTCCTGCTCTAGAAAAGGAAATCACTGGCTGAAGTTCCCAGAGCCAGGATGCAGGAAGCTGACGGGCCACAGGCACGGTCCACCTCCCCGGATCTTAGGAACAAGAAAAAAATGCACTCCTTACAACAGAACCTGGTACGTGGCCCCTGGACCCCACTGCGGAGTCCTCTTGAGCTCAGTCCTCGGACCACCACCAAGGAGACCCAAGAACCACACAGGGAACAAGTCCCACATCACACCCTGGGCACAAAGCAGCCACCCCACAGCATCCCTGCTGTGCAGAAATGGGGTGAAGACCAGCTCCCCAAGAAAGGGGAGCTGAGGGTCAGAAATTGGGGCGGTGCCCACCTCTGCAGATGCTGCACTCTGTGGCAGATGGGGGGCAACCGCCCCAGCTCTCTCCTGCTCCTCTTCCACAGTCCCCAACACACCTTTGGATGGGGATTTTGTTCCTAAGTGAGCCCACCCACCCACCAGGGAAGAGGCCAGGAGAGGCTGGCCGGAATCAATGGCCCTCGGATAAAGTGGCTTCCCAGGAAGGAGCCAGGGCATCGACAGAGGTGTGATTGGTGGCGAGGCTGGGGACGCTCACTTTTCTGATCAGTAACCAGGACACCACCAGTCACTCCTCGGAAGGAAGGTTGGGCAATCTACTTCTATAGAGATACTGCCTCAGCCACCCAAGGAGGGGGCGCTATGAGTGGGGGCTGACTCAACGGCACACAACAACAACAACAACAACAACCAGGACACTGGGAAACCAATGCACAACACTATACTTTAACACTGCTGGAAGGACGTTTGACGGAATGGAAACTAGCAGCCCAAGTTCCCCTAGATCCGTCCCCACTGCACAGAGAGCTCCCCCTGTAACTACGCTGACTACAAAACACAGTGTGCTCCATTTTATTCCAGAAACTTCAAAACCAACGTGCAATTCAACAGCTTGTCACAACCAAGGCAGCGGAGAGTGAGGACAGAAGTTACGCCCCACGCCGTTAGTGCAGCGCTTAGCAACCCAACCCATCTTGGGGCTAAGAAGCCCTCTGTGAACTCAGGGCAAGCTCCTCTTTTCCAGCATGTCCTGGGGCCATGCACCTCCCCGCAAGCCACCCTCACGTGGGGACATGCACACTGCAGCGACAGGAGGGCTTCTGGCCAGCCTCCCAGGGTCTGCCCTGGTGTAAACCTGATCCTGCTCTTTGACGGAGCCAGCTGCTGCAGGAAGCGACCAGCTTCAGAAGCGAGACAGCAACAAGGCTGGCAGGAAGACTCGGAAAAATGCTCATTCTAGAGCTGGAAACACAAGGTTTGCAAGACACAAGGAAACAGACTGTGTTTTACTCGGGAGCATTATTGTGCCAATGTTAACATGCACCTGACACCTGAAGCTTATGTGCATCTTTCCTGTAACTGTGACAGGGTCTCTAACACTTCCAACTCATCATTTGGAAAAAAGGGTGAGTATCACGAGAAACATCCCTTAAACGGTCACCTTATTAGCAAAGCAGAAGACAGCTGATAGGCTCCATTACACAGACTTCCCTTTCTAAGGTAACACATGGCTACGCAGTGGCGATTAAATGGGCAAATGAGCCCTGCGTCTTCTCCAGAATGACACCCCCCCCAGCAGTTCATCAAGAACGCGTCACAGGGCCGGCAGAGCCAGCACAACGCAGCAGGACCCCCACACACATTTCAGCAGACGCCCATTCCACTCATTCCCAGAAAGAGAGAGGGCTCAGGAAGGATGACCTCCTTTCTAAAAGGAAGGAACTGCCGATCGCTTCAGGGTTTCCCGTCACCAATCTCAGATCTAAGGGGCAGGTACACCAGCCACCTTCAACCTTCAACCCCTGGCCACACTGCACCCGTGACTGAAGGCTCGAGTACTGGTTTTGCACGTGTCCACTCTGAGATACGCGGGAGGACTGAGACTGTTACCATGCAGCAGCTGCCCGTGAGCTCTGCACATCCGCTAACAGTCCCATGGTTCTCAGCGGTGAACAACATGTCATTACCTTGTGGAGCTGCTTCAAGCCATCTTCGGTTCTGATACAGGACTGCTCCACATTGTAGTCAATTCTGTCAAGGACCGTACCCTAGGCGACAAATGACCGTCACAGGTGACCAACGAGGGCAGCCGGGAAAGCTGGGCCAACGCACACATCATGGTCCACAGACCAGCTGTGTGACGTCACTGGGCTGCACAGGTGTGCACCGGCCCAGAACCCTTGTCAAGCAGCACGAGGCACCCAGTGGCAGGGCACTAAGCTAGTGGCAATAAAGCTGAGCTCAGGAGACAGAGACACGGACAAACTGAGTCTTCCTGTTTGGACAGAGCTGCCAGGGGACATGCCACACTCAGCCTCACTGGGGCTTAAAAACATACCACTTGGTGGAAATGCATTCTGAGTGGCAGACGACTAGCTTTGTGCTGTCTACCACTTCAATACCTGGATTCATGTAAACAGAGAGCTGGTTAAACCAGAGCCGGATGTGAGTGGCTTTGCAAACTGCCCATGCTGCCTGCAAATGTGGCCTCAGGTCTCTGTGGACTGGAGCAAACTGCTAAGGTGCACCCATCTTGGAAAAACAAAAAATTTCGACTCAAGGAGAACTTTCTAAAATTGACCTCCTGGTTCAAGCAGAAAGGAGGCAACGCTGGGATGCGGGGAAGAGCAGGGCTCTTCTTGGAGACAGTTGCGGGGGCTGTGGGGTCAGCAGTATAACTGGGGCCCCAGAGCCTCGGAGCCACTTCACAGCTAGTTTCAGGGGTCAAGACCCACGTCCCCACTGGCAAGATAACAGAACAGCCTCATCAGACTCTGACGTGAGCAAACAATCTCATTCTACTTGAAAGCTGCTGCCGTCGGAGCCGGGACACTCTTAGCCACCAAAACCGGAAGGGGGTTCACCCATTTGCCGGAACCATGGCTGAGCTTGACCAGGGTCAGCCCGGTCTCCAAAGCAGGGTGCTCGAATGAGCTCCCGTGGGGAGGGGGAGGGGCAGAGAACACGCAAATGTCCACTACAGACGTGAGCTACTCACAACCGCAGTAGTGCGTGTAATCTGTACATTGCGTACATATGTGTATGCCTGTGCACACACATCCATACGCAGAAACACACGTTCCTGACAGGAATGTAGGTCCAAAGTCTGGAGAGAGACCAGCTGTCCCAGCAGGAAACCACTGTGAGGAGGCAAAGGCGCTCACATACCTGTTCTACAATCATGGCCCCTAAGTCCCGGAAGAGCTCGTTGAGGTCAGAGAGAGACTGCACGATCTGCCGGACCGCCCGCTCCCGCTCCTCCACCATCAGCGTGTTCTGCTCCACGAGCACCAGCTGGTCATCTGTAAAACCCTACACAGTGGGGGGGGGCGGGGCGGTGAGAAACCCTACACAGCGGGGGGTGGTGAAAACCCTACCGGACGAGAGGGCGGGGTGAAAACCCTACCGGGACAGGTGGGGAGTGCAGTGAAAAGCCTATCGGACGAGAAGGAGGGGTGAAAACCCTACCGGGACTGGATGAGAGAGCGGGTGAAAACCCTACTGGGGGACAGGACTAGAGGGCGGGTGAAAACCCTACTGGGACAGGAGGGCGGTGGTCAAAACCCTACTGGGACAAGAGAGGTGGGATTTGGAGGTTGGACAGCCCCCCCAAGAAAGCTACGGCATAGCATTTTAGATTTAATTTAAACGAAGTGGATTCTGAAAGTATTTCGATCAAGCACATGAACGGTATTTTGCCATAAATAAGCACTTCTTTACCCCTAATGAAAAAGAGTCACATTGGCCAAGCTGGCAGGAGGATAAGCATCGTTAGAAGGGGCCAGCCCACGGCAGGGGCTGTGGAGAACCCCGAGTTTCTGCAGCTATGCAAGGGCTGAGCAGCCAAACTCCAAGGGTAACCCTGTGTTTCTGGGGCCCTCCCAGGACAGGCGCCTGCAGAATGCTTCCCAGGACGTTCAGAAAGTCCGGGTTCCAGGTCTCCCGGTGGCCTTCGGGAAGGGAGAGGTGCCACGCCCACAGCTGCTCTCCAACTACAAAGACCACCTGGTGGGCACCCAGGTGAGCCCTTCACGTACCCGGTCATAAAGCGTGTGATCATCCCCGTCATCCATCAGTGGTACCGATGTGTCGAAAAAATGCTGTGACCTTTCCTCGCGATTCTTCATGCCTGTCATGGACAGGAACCCGCTTTACTCGGGTACGTGAACTATCCTGGCCGCTGTCCCAGCCGTAAAATGGGCAAATCTATTGAGTAAGGCTCAGCAGGCAAGATGGAGACACGCTTAGCAGCTTCCAAAGGAGCCTATGTCCAGTGGGGTGGGGTGAGGGGACCTCAGCACAGGGCAACACACAGGCATCGGGCCAGACAAAACAAGGCTACACGCAGAGGCCAAGATAAAACTATGTTTACAACCACCAGGCGGTCTGTAAGGAGACAGTCCTGTCGATCTAACTGCTACCACAGAACTTTGCTAAAACATTAGGACTTCTCTCTAGAAGCATGTATATCAAGTCCATGTGGCCTTAATCAAACGTTGTTATTGTTGTTATGTGCCATGGAGTCGGACCTAACTCACAGCAACCCCTCCTTGGGTTTTCTGAGGCAGTATCACTACGGAAGTAGATTGCCCCATCTTCCTTCCAAGGCATGGCTGGTGGGTTTGAACCGCCAGCCTTCTGGTTAGCAGTTAAGTATTTCAGGCACTATGCTACCAGAGCTCCTCATCAAACGTCAGAAGGGATAAAGTTAAAATACGTCAGCTCTCACAGGGGGGAGAGCTGGGTATTTCAGACAGAAGGGCATTACTGACGACGGGCCTTCAACAGTGATGGGGGAGCAGGAGGGGGCAGCAGGGAGACGGGGCCCCGAGACAGCCGGCAGACGAAGGGCTTCTGCGGCCCTGGGAAACTCTGCTTGTTATGAAAAAATGGGACTTTCGTGTGGTAACTATTTTATTCACTATTTTATAAGCAGCCCCTCCCCCAACACCTGGAAAGCAACAGGTTTCAAAAACACGCTGGACTGACTGGCAAATTCTTCAAGCTTGACCCAGAATAAAACTCGCTCTCCTGGGGTGAGCTCTTGGTAGCACTGCCCGTGACCTCAATGTGAGGAGGGAGGGGAGGCTGCCTCTGTCCCAGAGGCTGTGACTGCATTCCCACCCAGCCCTGGAGGCGTCTGGGCCAGACGGGGCCACACCCCGGGGGCCCCGCAACACTCACGTTTGAGGTAGCCCGACTGTGCGTGCCGGAAGCTGGTGGACAGCTCCTGCAGGGTCTGTGCCAGTGAGGCCACCACGTTGCGAAGGAGCCGCGCCTCCTGCTCCGAGCAAGCCCTGCGTGCCCGGCTCGGCAGGGCCTGCACCGCGCGCTGGCATCTGTGGAAGAGCTGAGAAACAAGGCCAGGCTCACCACCCGCCGAGGAGAGCAGGGCCTCTGCCTGCGCGGCTCCTTTCCCGAGCCTGGTGAGAAAGAGGGGCTCTGCTCACTCGGCCGCACGCACACACACGTGCTGTGCCTGGGCACACCGGGGAGGCCCCATCACCCCCACCCGCTCCGTCGTGGCACTCGGCCCAGGCTGTGCCAGCAACCCCGTCGTACAGGTGAGAAAGCCAGGGTCGGAGGCATTGAAACGTTCCCATCCCCAGGGCCCTCACCACACCACCACACCTGCCTCTTCTGTTAATCAGCGCCCATGGAAACACCAAAGTTTAAGCACTGGACTATTTTCCAAAATCGGTCAAATGTAACACTCTATAAGAAGTTCTTATAAGATGCTAAGCTTGTCTAAGGACCCTGGTGGTACAGTGAGTAAGTACTCAGCTGCTGACCAAAAGATCGGCAGTCTGACCCACGAGCCGCCCCATGGGAGAAGGCTGAGGCAGTCTGCTTCCGTAAAGACTGCGGTCTCGGAGACGCTAGTTCTACGGGGACAGTTCCATCTGCCCTGTAACGTTGCTGTGAGTCAGAACAGACTCAATTTTACTCTCTCCGGGGCAACAGCTCACAGCCGGTCAGTGACGTGGGCCAAATTTCAGCATACAGCTATTTGAGGACAGTGTAACCGAAGTTGTACATCTACACCCCAAGGACTGAGCTCAGTGATGGTGTGACAGCCGGATGCAGAGGACACCCCCATAGCTCCACTGAGGAGCAGTCCCACCTCCAGGACATCACGGCCAGGGGCACGGCAGGCCTCTCGAAGTCACTCTGAGAACTCTCTGAAGCTCTGAGAAACCGACCTCCAATCTGACGGGGAGCCGTAACCTTCTCTGACTGAACGCAGTGGGGACAGTGGACAGGTTGGGGCGCACCTCCACTCACCTGCGTGATCTCCTGCGTGGTGATCTCAATGGCGTGCTCCGCGGCGCTGCTGTCGTCCAGGGTGGGCCTGTTGACATGCTTGTCGTGAAGGATGGCTAAGTCTTTCATCTTCTGTTTAATCCGGCTGATGTCATAGTGTATCTACACACACGAAACCCCCAGGACCCCACTGAAACTGGCAGGACGTGTCTGCTCAGAGATAATCAGCCACTCACAGGGATCTCCCAGGTCTGCTCACATGTGAGCAACTGGTGATTCAAGGAACCACGCATTCAAACACCCCTGCTCCCTGTTCCTACTTCGTCCCGTTTCTGTAACAGGCCGTCCCCCCAGCGGCCAAGCAGAGCTGCATCCTCATGCGCGCGCGCTCTCACACACACACACACGCACGCACGCACACGCACGCACATGCACGCGCACACACGCACCCCTTCCTGGTGGTGTGGGAGCTGTGAAACCCTAAGGCTAAAGTATTTCTGGAGACAGGCACTCGAGGTTAGCCCAAGTTAATGTTTTGGCAGGTTATCTTAAAATGTTAATGTCACCATGACTTACAAAATAGTGACATAACATGAAACTAGCACTGAACTTACTTCGTCCACGCCATCCAGCCATTTGGGGGGAGACCGCTTTGTCACACCGATGGCTGCCTCTGGATCTAAGCTAAGGCCTGACACCAGTGCCATGCGGTCATCAGCAAGCTAGGGGGGAGAATGACATGAGAACACGTTATTGGACCCCGGTGTGGAGATACACACTCTTCCTCCCTCTACGTGTTGCTCCCTAAAGAGACAGAAACGTAGGCGTGACATGCACTTGCCTGTGGTGCCCAGAGCTTTTGATACTCTAGTAGGTGGAACCATTTCCTATCTTTTCACGCACCAGCTCTTAACTTCCTCGGACAAACTCGTGAACATGAATCTGACTTGATGTGGCTACTACTCAAATGTAATGGAAGAGTCAACAAGGATCCTTAAAAGGAGGGCCTTTCGGTACCACAACAGGACAGCATGAGCCTCAGAGTCAATGTGATCAGGCACAAACTGAAAAGGGGCCAGGCTATAAATGTCACCAACACAAAATCTTCAACAGGGCTAGTCTGTTTAAATGCACTTAGCTTCTTCTGGACACAAGGCTGCCCCAGCTGTAGCCACAGACCATTAACAATCTCTTAAAGCACGTGAAGAAACGGCCCACCGTGGAGAACAAACTGCCCACCGTTTGGAAAAGATACCCTTAAAATCTCAGTGCCATCTGACACTGTCACTTCTTTCCCAGTTAAATGTCCACAGACCAGTCACTTATTCTGAAATGACATCAGGAACAGCAACAACAAAAAACCACCAAACTCACTGCCATCGAGTCAGATCCGACTCACAGCAACCCCTCCTTGGGTTTCCAAGGCAGTATCAGTACGAGAGTAGATTGCCCACCCTTCCTTCTGAGGAGTGGCTGGGGGGTTTGAACCGCCAGCCTTCTGGTTAGCAGTCAGATGCTTTAGGCACTACACCACCCGTTCTTGTCTATTCTGAGGGTGTCACTGCTTTAGATCAACACACTGCCTTACACAGCTTTTCTGAATACGAGGGTGGTCACGGGCTCGGCTAAGCGGCTCTCCTGCCTGGGGTACAGACAGGTGCACAGGGCCCCCAAGAACGTGCTGGAGCAAACAACTTATAAAGGCCACTTTCCAAAGGTCTAAATGACGGTCCTAAAACAGTGGCGTGGCGCCTACGAGGGCCCTGGTGGGGCCGCTCCGGGGATGTGCGACATCGCGCTGCGGAATCCGCAGAGGAAGCTGCACTGCTTTGCTTCGCTTTCCCGGCATTTATCTAAATTTATTTTTTCACTGCTTCAGTGGATACTTGGTTTTTGAACAATAAGGAAGCAAGGTTAAAACTAAGATCACACCTGAAGGGGGAAAAACCCATCACACAAGGAGAAACCTATCGAAGGAATTCTCAAGTCACCAGCCCTAAATACCGAACAGAGTTCACAGTCAAGTTCCTAAAAGCAGACTGTTCCCTTGCACCTACCTCCTGCTGCGCCTAAGGTCCTCCCTCCCTCCACACCGGCATTCTGGGTACTCAGGGGACACGGCTCAGGAAGTGCACCCCATACAAAGATCCTACTGGGGCCAGAGCCCCAGTGGCACTCAGGGCCTCTGCAGGCGGGGGGCAGCCTATCCAGGCTCCGCTGCAGCTTGACACATGCGATGGTTTGTCACCCACAGGGACAAGCAGTGGCACCGAGCAACTGTCCACCTGTGTGTGCGTTCAGAGTTAAGTTAAAATGTTAAGGAATCTTACTATTATTTTAATCTTGACAAACCCAGATATGCTAGGAACTACAATTCCAATGTATAAATGAGGAAATGGGAAACTCAGAAAAGTTAAGTTGCCAGCCCAAGGTCACAAAGCTGTTATGTGGCAGATTAAACTTAGGCTGGCTGGCCCCCAAGGGGCCTTACTCCACCAGCTGACGTGTCCATGAAATACAATTGCAATTTGCTAAGCAAACCAGTAAGGACAACAGGCCATGGATCAGAAAAACAACAGAGCTCACTGCTCTGCCCCGTGTCCTGCCTAGGGCGCCAGGGAATCCGGGCAGGTTTGGGGGCAGGGCCCTCATCCCACACAGTGTGGCAGCCACGGGGCCTACTCCGGACTGCCAGACTGGAGGGTGCGGCTCTAGGGAGGAGGCCCTGACCAGGGCAGGAGGTAGCAGCCGCACACCTGCTCCAGCCCACCGCTGGGAGCCGCACACGTGCGCCCACGCCAGCGCACTGCCAGGGCCCGCGCACGTGCACCCAGTGTACTGCTGGGAGGCACACACCCATTGCAGCGCACTGCAGGGGGCCGGGCACTGCCGCACTGGCCGCAGCTGCTGATGCACAACACATCCCTCCCTGGACCGGAGCAGAACCCGGACATCTAACTGCAGCCTGTGGACACCACGGAGAACGGACCAGTTAACCTAGATGCCTCTTCCTGGGTCGCAGAATTCTATGTCAGCTTATCAGCTAGGAACCACACTCTAGGATACCGTATTTTAACAGAATACTAATTTGTTTACTGGTGGTGATTTTACAGTTTTTAAACTCACGATCTTATATTGAACTGTCTGTAGTGTTGAAAAACAAACAGTAATCTAGAAACACAGCAGCTCAGGTGGTGTAGTGCCTAAGGCCCTTGATGGCTAACCAGAAGGCTGGCGGTTCAAACCCACCAGCCACTCCTCAGAAGGAAGGTTGGGCAATCTACTTCCCTAGTGATACTGCCTCGGAAACCCAAGGGTCACTGTTGTCCTGACTCGATGGCGCGTAACCACAATCTAGAAACACACAGACAGTACTGCTTTCTCCAGCTTATGGGCATGGCTCTGACGAGCAACCCTCCGACACAGACGACAAAGTACAAACCAGGAGGAAGAGCTGCAGTGGGCGTGGCTGAGGCAGCCTCCCCTCCTCGGCCCGGGAGAACCGACGTGGGAGAGGGGGCCAGCTGGGGCAGAGGCGGCTGGCCCGTGCAGCACCGGCCTTCTCCACCTCCGTATCGGGATGTGACCATAGGACAGCACTGCTGGCTCTGCACGGACCTGAACCAGAGAATGCCACGCTCCCCTCGGGACCCAGTCGATGGCCGCAGCTCATTAGGACACAGAACTGCTGCCCTACTGAGAACAAACGGCTTCCCTTCCCCTCAGGGTTGGAAATATG